TCAGGCCTGACGTCTTCATCTGAGGCCTTCACCTTCACCTGAGGCCCTCACCTTCGTTAGAGGCCCTCATCTTCGCCAAAGGCTCTCTCCTCCGTTAGACTATCACCTTACGCCGTTGCTTTGTCGGAACACCACCTGAGGCCTAGACTTTTGCTGGGCCACTACCTGACGTCCAGAGTTCTACCAAAGTACCGCCCTACTACAACGGTCTTTCAGACCCCAGTCTCCTACCGACTACGGTCCTTCAGGCCTTCGTCGCCTACTATGGTCCTTCCGACCTCCATCAACAGACAACGGTCTTTCTGACCCCGGTTTCCTGCCGACTACGGTCTCCTGCCCACTACGGTTCTTCAGGCCAAACAAATATGTATATGTAACTCCTACCATGTAATGCAATTTATATGATGTACATTTGCTACATCAATCCAAGGCCTTCTCCCAAGGAAGGGCCTCATTTGTAATCGACTGCAAATACTAGTGGAGCCATTCAAACTGGGCCAGGCCCCGTGGTTTTTCCCCCTTTTTAGGGGTTTTCCACGTAAAAACTTTGGTGTCTCTTATGAATGCTACATCCTCTCACTTATCTGTTTGTGTGCTGGATCTTCGTACAATGCTAAGACATTAAACTAAATATTTCTCTACCGTCGCGAATACTCAAGGACGCAACAATAGTATTAATGCAATAGAGAGATATATTAGTGTTAATTGTTTACAAAACCAATTGTTGGTTATGTTAATTTTTCATTTCCAGAAATTTCAGTAGTGCGAAACATGCGAAGTTTTTATTAATTTATTCTGTTGATTGTCAAAATTAGCACCATTATCAGCTGTCTCAAGTTCGTTGAAGAATTAAAAAAAAAACACTCAATATCAAGCTAACGAGCTTGCTAACAACCGTGTTCGAGCATCATATTCGAGGTCAAGCCAACGAGCTGAGGTTGAGCTGAAAAAAAAATATCGAGTCAAGCTCGAATTTGATGCAGGCAAACTAGAAAGAAAAGTCAAGAAGGAGAATACTAGGACAAGTTTAAACCAAAATCCATTCAAACTAGTTTGCAAACATTCCCAAACAAACTCCAAAGCAAATGAAAAGTTGAAAGAAACGAAACAAAATTACAATATAAAAATACTATCCTCAGAACAACCGGCAAGTGGTTCCTCGCATGCAACGAGTAGGAAAATATATGATATAGTGCTTAGGCTTGCAAACCAAGGGTCCACCACAGTGAAAGGGTTTAACGTCCTACCAAACGCCTCTGACAAATGTCTCCCAAAATCAGCCAACAAACAAATTCCAAATGCTCAAGAAAAATGATACAAGTGGAGTGGAACTTGCGTAGAGAAGAATAGATTAGAAGCCAAGACGAAATAGAGAGGAGATAGAGGTGGAACAAGCTCTCAAGCTTTTCCAAGAGAAGAAACTCTCAGGTTTTTAGCAACTTATCTCAAGATAATCAACAACCTCTCCATGACAAAAACTTTTCATGTATTTAGGCAAAAAGGGGAACCAAACAGCTAACTTCTACCTCCAGCCAAATCAATCAGGTAAGTGGAAGAAGAAGGGCAATAAACACCACAAAATAACTCCCAAAAATCAGCACAGGTAACGGGTAAGAGAAGCCACGGGAACACAGCTAGGGAGGGACCCGAAGAGCCAACACATAAAAAGAGGAGAAACCACGGGAAAACAGCCAGGGAGGGACTCGAAGAGGCAGCCAGTAGGTTTCACGGGAACAACACAAAGAAGGAATCAAAGAGACACAAGAGGGGGAAGAAACAACAAGTAGCCCAAAGGACAAAAGGACCAAAATGCTAACAAACCCAAGCCTTGTCATACCCAAGCACATCCTACCATGATCATTAGATGTTCTTCATCATTTGATAGCACAAAAAACATAAAAACACAACTAATAATGTTCAAATTACATCAAAATAAAATAAACCAAAATATAAATGCATAAGAATTCGAACCCCTTGGTCTGTTGGTTGGGAGCTTAGACTACAAACTAAGAGGTCTTTGGTTCGGGTCTTGTGTATGCAATGTGTGTATGAGTCTGCCTTAATTGGCCTAAATATCCAAAAAAAAAAAAAAAAACATTAAGCAAGCCGAGCTCGACTCGACTCGTTCACTCTCCTAATTTAACCTAACATTTTCATGCCGTTTGTTTGATATTGTTGTAACTGATAAAAAATTAGTCTCACTGAATAATTAGAACATGTGCATATTTCTCTTTATCATATCTACTTAAAATTGAAGTGTGCATATATTAGGTTGTGTTCATTATCCAATTTCTAGGTTATTCCTTCAAGCCAAGCGAAAATGAAAACTTACATTTCCACTCAGTGTCTCCTCAACCAAACACTTAGGCAAAGGTTATTCTCAATTCAGTTTCTTAAGTACTTCCAGTTCTCTCTTTTTCAATTTCTTCAAAACATTTTTTCATTAGGCAGTTGCATATATAACATTGAAAATGATTATTACAAGTGCGAGGATTTTTTTATATGCAACATAGCTTTTTGAATATTGCATGAAGTTCTTTCGCTGTACAGTTTGTTTGGTACAGTTTTTCTACTACTTTGTTTTTCATATAACAATTATAATTTTATTTGGTTTACGACTGCTTTGCAAGCAAGGTATATTTCATCCATTTCCATTGGCTGCACAAGGCTGCTATGGGACTTCTCTAAGGCTTCGTTTGGTGCTGCTTTTTTGCTGTTTCTTAAAGTAATTTTTTAGTACAAAAATTAAAATTATTCTTTCCTGTTTGCAATGTAGTCCTTTTGAGGTTAGGGAACTGCATAAAATGTGAAATGTAATTGGCAAAGATTCTCTGCTTGTCTTATTTCATGGATGCCACCCACATATGAATCCTCTTATTCTGTCTTCCTCTTCCGTTTATTCTCATCTCCTTTTATAGGAATGCCATCTTTTTTGGCTTTCTTGGTTGGAGGAATTAAGCAAAAAAAGAAATATTATTTACCTAATAATTACAACTTGTGAAAATAGTATTCAACTTAGAGCATAGAGAGATTTGAAGTTCAATAATTTTACTAGGCTTGAATAGGGGTGTCAATTTCGGGTCACGGGTCGGGTTCGGGTCGAACCCGGAACTGACTCGGGTTCAAACGGGTCGACCCTAACCCGACCTGGTTAGGTAAACGGGTCGGAAATGCGAACTCGGAGCCGACCCGGCGGGTTGCCGGGTTGACCCGACCCGACCCGGATAAATATTAGATTACATTAATGTTATTAAATTTAATTCATATTTAATGTAAATTTTGTATATATTTAAGTTTTTAAAATTTATATAAGTTATTTTAAATTTAAGTTATATATTTGTATGTGATTTTAATCTATGGATATCATCATTAAAAAAAATGACTCAAATTTTAAGCAAAGTCTATAGTTAACAAATGATCTTTCACATCGGCCTCCCATTGCAATACCTCCTTTCAGTAAAGGTTTGTTTCCTCCCAAGTAACTTCGTTTTTTCTACTTGAGCTTCTTTTCGGATAGTTTTTTAAATTAGTTTTTAAGCACAAAAATTTTATTGTTTAATAAATTTTTAAGAAATTTTTGTATTGAAAAGTTGTTTTAAAAAGCAATAAGAAAGTAATCTCAAATAAATGCTTAAGATATTGTTTCACACTTGATGCACATCGTTCACGAAGGCTTCTTATCACCGAATCTTTTGGAATCACACTGCAAAAGCCTTGCTTCCCTCTCCACCACACAATACTATAAATAAGGTTTTGTTCGGGATGGATTTTTTCCTGCTTTTTATAGTAGATTTTTAATAAAAAAATTAAAATTTTAATATTAAAAAATTGCTTTAAAAAGTAGAAAAAAGTCATCCCAAATCACTTAAGCCATCATTATTTTTAACGTGAACTCTTACTATCTATCACATACTTTCTCACCCACTACATATCACACTATGTGTGCATTTGGCCTACATTATTGTGCCCACAACAAAGTAGCTTATGCAATTATATTTGTTCCTAACATTATTTTGATGGGAATGAACTCAAGGTCAACACTTCATAGCTTGCGTAAGATCTATTTCATGCTTAATCATTGATCAATAATTATGAAAAATATATATATTATAGAGAGAAAAATAATTTGATCAATTATCATCGACATTACATCTTCCTATTTATGCGTATTTCGGGTTAGCACCATAATTTGTCGGGTGGGTTCAAACTGATAACCCGGCGAGGTAAGTCTATGTTTGAAGTTCCAACCCGTTTACAAAATCGAGTTGGATTAGGGTCAACCATTTGAATTTGAGTCAATTCCAGATTTGACTCGAACCCAACTCGAATATTCATTTTAACACCCCTAAATATAAGTACTTCACAAGTGCTCAACAAGCCACCACTAAGCGGCTTAACTCGAACAATTATAATTCTCAAGAAGAACACTTGACCAAAAGAAAAAAACTAACAACAAACAAACTAGTCAGCATTACACAGAGTTAACCAATTTCCTAGTGAGGTTGTAATGCAAGGACTCACCCAAGTAGCTGGTATTGAGGATTCATCACCTTTAGTAGGACTTACCCATACTCACATAAGCCACAGATGTTTCCCATCTCAATAAGAACCATGCATCCATTGGCATTCTTCATAGTCGAGTCCACTTGAGTACTCAGCCCACATCACTTCCTCCTAGAAGCACTTGTCCCTATGCTTCTAGTAGTCTAAACCCTTCTCCAATAGACTCCCTATCATGACCAAAGGATTCACCTTCTTATACTCAATTTATTTTATATAAACCCTTAGAATTTTCCCATGAAGACTAGCGAAAGGGCCTTGACCCAAAATTTGTGGGCTACACTATAAGTAGAAAACCATTTGAAGGTTAATCAACTTGGCCACACGCCTATGATAACCTATAATAAGTCACATCATCTGTTATATTTTATCTTCAGTATAGATTACTTGCTAATAATATCAAATATCATCTACGAAAAAATTCAAATTCAAACTTGATATGATGTCATACCACATAAATCTTACTTTCAAATACTAAAATCAATGAGAATTCCTAGAGATCACAAAGTTGTAACTTGTGAACTCCACAATTTACATGAGTTTCACAAGATCCCAAAAGCCCAAATTACATCATACAATCAATGGGTCAAGTCTTAATCAACACACTCACAAACAAATAAAATTATGTGGTAGAAGAGGAATGATCATATAGGACATGCTCTTAAAAAGTAGCAATGATTGACCATAGGAATCTTTCAAAGGTTCCTATCCACAAACCCATCATGAGATGATCCATCAAAAATCTCATAAAATTTTCCAAAAATGAGCAGTAAATCCGAACGGTGGGATACGGGAGGACAAGAATACTATTCAACCCTCATCATAGCCGTACATTTGGATCCATCCACCTCCCTGCCTCATCCTCAGCATTTATATTCCCTTCCCCTTCCCTTAGCCTTTCACATGCATGTGACCGAAACTGCCAGAAAACACCAGACAGAATTAATAAAAATAAATAGCAAATTAACGCTATTTTTTTTATTTGTAAAAAAAGCACTTTCCTTTTCTTCACCAGACATGTCGCCCTAAGAAAAATATTCTTATCCCCTAAAGTTTCAGCTCTCATCCATGTAAGAAAATTTTATTCTGATAAAAAATAATATAAAAGTTTTGAAAAATTTAAAAATTTTATATTATGTTCATGAAATTAGAAATTATTATAAAAAATGATTTCATCAGGATATCATAATTTATTATTCTTTCTTTTTAATATTCTAGAATTTTTAGATATTTACAAATTCAATGCTTAAAATATTTCTATAATATTTAAATTACATAAAAAATAGTTTTAATATTAAATATAGAAATATATAAGAACTATTTGATTTGTATATAAATCTCCATATGATGATTAGCCTAATCATATATTGCTCACGTACCCAATAGTTCACCAGATTTTTTTTTTTTACTATTTTTTAATATAAAAATTTTAAATTTTATATTAATAAGAAGGAAATCTTTATTTTATTGAGAGCAGTTCTACTGTGTTGTACAGAAACCAATTGCATTTGCCAAAAATAAAAGAGATATTTTTCCAACATTATCATCCCAATGAACAATAATCAGCAAAAATCAATGAACAGAAATTGGGGAAAAAAAATAAAAAAGATATTTTTCCAGAACAAGAGGTCCTCAATCCTCACCTAAAGCCTCAATGAAAGATCAACTTCTGCGTCGGCGTTCTCTGCAACAGGAACATCATCATCATCATCATCATTAGCATGTACATTATCGTCCCAATGATTAGGAATAGAGCTTCTCTGCCAGTTAAGCAAATCCATGGTCTCGTACCCCTCGCCGGGATCCACCGCCGTGGTTGGAATAAATGGGAGGTGGCCATATCCAGCGGTGGTGAAGCGGGCGGCGCCGCCCACACTGTAAGGGACGAAGGAGGTGGAGCGGCAGCCGTGAGAAGCGATGGGAAGCGACGACGTCGTCTCGGCGGCGAGCGGCGGTTGATGGTGGAGGTAGAGGTTGTGGGTGGTCCAGCTTACGCTGCGTTCCTTCTTGTGAGCGTTTTGGTGGCCGCCGAGAGCTTGAGATTTAAGAAACTTTTTGTTGCAGAAGAGACAGGGAAAGAGTCGCACGTCATTTTGGTGCGGAGGGTGGGCAGGGGAGGTGGATGGAGAGGAGGAAGAGGAAGAGGAGGAGGTTGAGGGTGAACCTAGAGTTAGGGAGAGGTCTAAGGTGCTTGATGGCGGCGGCGGCGGCGACGGCGGCCGGCTTGGTGGAGGTGAAGAGGGGGAAGGAGACGGCTGTTTGAGCATAATGGCTCTTTCTTCTGTGTACTAGTGGTTCTTTGAATTAAGAAGGGATAGAAAGGGAAAGATTGAGGGAAACAGATCAGAGATGTCTGTTTTTTTTTTTGTTTAATTATTTATTTGAATAATATTTCTCTAACAAATTAGACTAAAAAAGTATCTTATATTTTGTGATTGGTTAGTACTATTGATGGATTAAAGAATTGCACTGAAAATTTTGATTGATTAAGATTGTATTGGAACTAAAAATATAAGTTGTCTATTATGAGATAATGGAGCAAATATTTCATATTTTGTAAAATTTTAGAAGAGTTTAATGTTAGAAAAAAATATTTTTAATTTAAATTATGAAAGTATGGACATAAAAAATGAAAATGATCGAAAGCAATATTAATCTGATTAATGAACTCAAAGATAAAAATATTTTCGAAGGCTTGTTAAGTTATTGGTACTTTATATGATTGAATATTAATATTAAAGTAGCATTTAAATATGAAATTTATTGGATTAAATTCATGATTATCTTAACATTGATTTAGGAAATTTATAGTTGATACAAATGCATCGATAAAATGAAGCAAATTATAACAAAATTGTTTTGATTTGAGTCCAAAGAGTCTTAAATAAAACACTCAAACATTAGTGAAAACTTGATAATATTATTTCACAAGCTGAATGATCTTTGAATGTTGAATGCTTATAGCGTCAAAAGGAGTATCTTGATGAGGGAAATATAACAAGCTCAAGATATCTCAGTTTCATTAAAGTACTTATATGACTAAAAATAATCAATAATCAAGGGATCAGAACAAATTATTTGATGGGGTGTTTGGGTATTTTAACAAAAAATAACTCGATTGTCTGCCATAGAAATCATTAAATAGGTCACCAATATTCACATCAAGGGGATGAGGAATGGGAGAGAGCTAAAAGATCTAAAGAATCATAAAATTTTGCATGATGATTGATGTTAATTATCACCATCAACAAGCGTCATTGCCCGACTACTATCTCCTAGCCATCAAAGAGTTATACCGAATAATATTAAATCCCACTGTCACCAATTGGAGACCCATGCATGTAATTGACACCAATGAAGACACATTCCACTGCCAAGGCCAGTGCCTGAAATTTGCATCAATCATGATGCTCATCATCAGCAAAAGGCTAATAGATGCATCAATGCATGCCATAACTGATAAGGTTATTGCCCATCATCAAATTTAATTTAACACCTTCTATGTCTAATAAGGTAAATGCATGTCATTGACATTAACATCAATAAACATCATTATTACTAAAGCTGACACACTCCATCACTGACTTGGTTGATATATGCCATTTGCACTAGTATAGATGTATAGTATTGCTAATAAGGATGAAGCTCACATCAAAATACAACATGAACTAATTGTTGACATCAATATCAATTCAAACTATCATAAGAAAGGTTGATATATTATACTAACACAAATGTTGTCGCCCACCAATTTTGTTACTAATCATTACCAATAACATCAGCGCACACCATTCCTATTAAAGATGACGCATATTATAGATACCAACACTGATTCTTATTTTGACTTCGTTGTATGCCACCGCTAACAGTATTGATGTATGACATCACTAATAAGGTTAATACTTGCCACTAACACTAATGTGAATGCCCGCTAAATTCATCGTTCTCTATCATCAACAACATCAATGCCTATTATTATTAACGATATTGATTCATGAGGTTGATATTAATGATGGTGCCTACTAACTTTGTTTCCATTATCACTAATAATGTCAACATATAATCCATGATAAGATTATTATTTTAAGAATTTTCTTTTATATTTTTATTATTTTGGGCTAATAGGGCGTCAAATGCCATTATATAAAAAATGATTGATACATTAAAAATAAGCCTCAAAGATTAAGTGGTTGCATCAAGTAATAATTGCATGAAAGTAGTCCTCTTATAAAAAGATCTTAATTAGATAATAAACCATGGAGTGTCATCCCAAAAATTTCCTCAATCTTAGAGTCTACTTTAAGACCTTGGTGTCAAACAAAAATTTTAGACTTTTTATAGGTTACAATGAAGACATTTTAAAAGATTCATCTTAATGTCATATTTGAGTGGATGCTCAGAGACAATCTCAAGTTCATAAAAATGATATTCATGTATTTTACTTTTGACTATAAGTCCAATACATATCATTCAACTTTCATAAAACTAATATATAAGCCATCATACATTGATAAGTTATTGTAATATTATTGAGATTGAAGAGGGGATACCTTGTAATAGTATATGTCAATTAAAGTATGAAAGTAGTGCACTTCTCATCCTTGAGTGTCGTCATAATTTGGTGATACCTAAATGAGTTGCCTATTAATGAGAGCATATTACTATATAATAATATCAACAACATATTCGTGAATAGGCAAACAAAAATTAATTTTTAGGACATATCTTATTCAAATCTCTCAATAACTTAGACATCTAATAATACAAATGAATGATGGGCAATGTGAGGGGTAGATGATTAAGTGGTTACAATTTATCCATCATCCATTATACCTAAGTTTTTAAAATGGATTTAAACACTTAAGAAAATTATCAAAGTATTTAGAAGTGATCTAAATACTTGAGTATAGAGGCACAAAAGGTCATAAAATAAATGTGATATGATAAGTAGGAGAAACACTTGGTGGTATTTATCCATCGAAGGAGTATAGATCTCGTTTAGGTAGATTTAGCCCACTAGAGTAGAAAAATATAATTATATATGTTTGTCCTATTTATAATAGGATGAAAGTATAAACGAGCTGGCTTGCGAACTAACGAGTCGAGTCAGTACAAGCTCAAACATAGCCCATTAGCTCATTGAGCTTGGCTCGCTAGCCATTTATCGAGTTGAGCAAGAGCTGACTCACTCACAAATATGCTTGACTCACTTACACCCCTATTTCTTATTCACCATATTTTGCATCTCATTCTAAAGAATCTACTTCGAAGATAGTCAGTCGACTCTTGAAAATTATAGTAGCGTTGTTACTGAAAAAGCAAACTGCATGCCACTTGCATCGTCCATAGATAACGATGACAAATGCGGTCGCACAGAAAGTTTGGACAACCAAGTTGATGAGGAGTCGATTTTAGCCCAGAAAAGCTGCCTTCAGTTATTCTCACTCGCACCAATATAAAGTTCAAGATATTTATGTGCTGACCTAAGTGATCATCTTTATTTGTACCCTCTTCAAGCAATTTGAAGCTGCAAAAGTTCAGCTTGACAAGTCAGTGGCCTCAGTCACTTTTGGCTATGCAAATATATGGATTATTTATTTACTTACTCTAAAGTTCAATAATATATATAATGATAATATTTTATTATAGTTATCTTAATTATTATTTTATTAAATGATAATATGTTGTAATGCCCTACCTAAAAGTATGAAGTGGTGTGTGGAGGTGGAACAAATACATTAAGTAAGAAGGAATTAAATTTAGTCTTATTATTCAAAATTTGAGTTGGGCAATGGTGGTCACGAAATTATAATTAGCTGATCATAGTCAAGAAATCATAATCAAACGATGATATTTAAACAATGATGGTTAATATATGGTAGTAATTTCATGTGAACATTGGTATTAATCATCAGATAGAGCTCTCTCCAACTTCAAGTCCAAGTTTAGCTAGAAGTTCTCCTTCTTCTCCTCTTTGAGGTAGAAAATGGGGTATACTTATAATTTTCCAGAGTGACATTTCAGTCATTTTCGCTAAAATCCCAAAATACTCCAACTGACATATGTAATTGATTCCTTTAATTATAGAATTTTTTTTAAAGTATTTAGGTCACAAGAACTCAAAATTGATTGCTCTTAATTATATTTCTCTCAACGAGATAATTATCTTGACTATCTCGGCTCACACACAGAGAACACAAAATGTTTCATATGGAAAATCCTAGAAGGGGGAAAATCAAGGGGCCTAGCCTAGTTGAAACAGATTTCGCTAGAATTTGAGTTGAGTGTAGTGGGCTGACTCATCCTTAAGGGTGATCAAATTTCAAATGTCAACCATATAGTTATAGTCTAGTGACAAATGGGGATGAAAGTCCAACATCACTTGGTGGTCCGGCAGAAGTCCGACGTCTAATTGGTGGTCCAGCAAAACTCTGGAGTTAGGTGGTGGTTCGGTGGAACTCTAGGCGTCATGTGATGGTCCAAAGGAACTCTGACATTAGGTGGTGGTCCGCCAGAACTCTGACATTAGGTGGTGGTCTGGCGGAACTTGAGTGTCATGTGGTGGGTCCAGCGGAACTCAGGCGTTAGGTGGTTGTCCGGTGAAACTCCGGGTGTCAGGTGGTGGTCCAACGGAACTCCGATGTTAGGTGGTGCTTTGGAGGAACTCTGGCGTCAGGTGGTGGTTCGACGGAACTACGGCGTAAGGTGGTTGTCCGGCGAAACCCCAGGCGGTGGTCGAGGAGCAAGGGGCAAGAGCGATCCCTGATCTCTCTCTTGTTTCCTTTTGCTTGGGCCCCTTTTCAAGAGAAAGCATGGGCTTATTTATAGATTTCCCATAATGACATGACCCGTAAATAGGAGAAAGATCAATGGTAAATGGGGAGTGGTTTGGATTGATGGCCGATATTAAATCCCTTAATTGTGGATCGTTTACCGGGCATTTTAATGTTGTAGTGATATCAGAATTCAGGGATCTTAGGCTCATTGGATTTGTCTTTTCGAGCCGCTCGATTCGACTATAATCATGTCATGTTTGGAAACCATTTGGTAATCCAATTTGCTATTTGAACCTTCCAACAATGCTTTGGATCCTTGATTTGGACCCATTCGAAAGTTTCCAACTTGATTTTGCCTAGAGATTTATACCAATCCAAATAATTTTTTGATAAAGTATCAGAGTTAAATATTAAAAATTGATGTCTTGAAACCCTCTTCCTGGAAAAGTAGTTGACAACTTCTTAATTATTCATGAAACTTCAATTTAAAGAATTAATAAGTAAATAAATAAGAACTCATCACCTCCTCAAACAATTCCTCTCTTCATTT